TCTTTTCTTTCTCCTAAAATTTTAAGAAAAAGAAGTAAAAAAAAGTTAGTAAAGCAGTATATACCTCTTTTCTTGATGGTTCTAGATAACTTATTGTATATGTATTGAAAGTGCTTGGTAGCTTGGTTTAAAGAATATGTTGTTTTTCCTTATATGTTTGAACTGGTCCACTTTTTCCAAGAAAATTATCAAAAAAGAAAATTTTTAAAAAAATTGAGGATCAGCGGAAAGAGTTTTTATGTATTATCAGTTATTATTCTTTTTCGATTTATTTTATATTTTTTATTGAATATAAATATCTTATATTTTTAAATCAATAAAAAGAACAAAGTATTTATCACTATGGTTAGAATACATATGAAATATGATATACCTATTTTTACATTAGAAGATTATTTATATATTATGCAGTGTTGTGATATAAAATCAAGATATAAAATTTTAAATGAGTTGATGGATAAGTATAAAACGACAATAAAATGTATTTATCAGATTTGAAGAGGAGTAAAAGCTAATAGAGTTTTATGGAATCAGTCTATATCATACTCATATGATAATGTCTCTAATTTTATGTCCCCAATATATCAAAACACCAAAGTTTTAAGTTGAAGAGTTGTGGCTTATTGTGAAACAATGACACTTACATGTCTGCCACTGATACTAGTTCTGATAATAAATCAAATTCTACCATGAATATCATCTATATAGAGTTCAAACCTTTAGACTCAAAGAAACATAATTCAGAGAAGAGACAGGATCTTGAGAAAGCTAAGCTTCAAGTCCTTGACTTATCTCAGATTCATCACCTGATAGATAGTTCTATTATAGATAACTTATCAGTAAAGTCAATACAACCAAGTAAGCAAACAAAAACAAAGAGATCCAGATCTGTACGGATATTAAATCCACTCATTATTTCTGAGGACTCAACAGAAAAAATAGATACAGATGAACTAGCCCATTTTAAATATATGGTAAAAGAAGGTGAGGAAAATTTATCATATTCAGAATATAATATTGATGAATTATAAATGATGAACTTTATCCATCCTACCTAATCTTTATTTTCTTTACTAGATAATCTTATATGACAAACAAGGTCGTTAAGACCAGTAATAACTTTAGTTACTTTATGCATTTCTTTCTTATACATCTTGCAATTCACATATTTTTTTTTAAAGTCAAATTGTCGGAATATGGGCTAAAACCCACAGGAGCATGCCCTTCCTTCAATGATTCATTATCATTCTCATTACTATTAGTATCTTGTGAAATTTGACTGGATACCAAAGGCTTATTGCAAAGCAATATGACTCCATCCCTATTATTCTGAGATGTGATAACACAATTTACTTCGAGTTTATTTTTGACTTTATGCATAGTAATCAGAATAATATGATCCTTTCCATTAAAAGGAATTTTCAACTCGTCTTTATCCCAATCTATAGCATATTTATATTTCTTGAGAAGTGGATTTGATAATATCAATGTTGGTTTAAGAATATGTACAATTACAAAATCTTCATATATAGTAAAACCTGGAGGGAATATTATTGGAAAATTACGAGCAATGCCAATAGATTCTATTGGGACTGTTGCAATATCACTAAGATTATATTTTTCTGATTTATCAATTGGCCAATTTACATGTTTAACAATATTTTCTGACGTAATTGGAGGTTCAACTCCACTATCAAGTACCAATGCTAGAATTTTTAAGTATTTGATTTTACACGATATAGTTGCAAGGCTTGTGGCAGATTCTTTCTGGTGGACAAAATCTATTTTCATAGAATTGTCTAGCATTTTATCCTCCCCATCTAAATCAAATATTTCTGGAGCTGGCTCTTGATAATTTAAGCACGAAGTACCCTGCTTTGCAGTAAAGTCAGGTTTTACAGGTCCTTTAGGGACGACTCTTCAAGTCATAGATAAATTCATATTATTAATATTATTTTTAATTGTTTCTATAACTTCTGAATTGTTAAAAAAACTCTTTCCGCTGATTCCCTTTTTCCTAAAAAATTTTCTTATTTGGTAATTTTCTTGGAAAAGAGAAGCCAGCTTCAAAAGCACTTTATCCTTTAAAGATTTAGGACTTAATAACAAACTACAACAGTCAACCACCTTCCTAAAGCTCCCCTTATCGATCAAAAGAAGTATAGGCAACACAGCATCATACTAGCTTTACTTTACAAGGGAAAGAAAAAACAATCACAAACTGATTTACAGTAAGCTTAAGAGAGCCCAATATCAACTTCCCAAGCTTCTAGCCAGGCCAGTATCAGTTTACACCTTTCTAGGCACTAGAAGGAACT